ACGGGTCGTCGTCGTGGCGAGATATATTTGCATCGCGCCTACGACGCTCTGTCGGTCGAAAAACGGCCATCCGAAAGGCCAGCGCGCGTAATTATCCTCGACGTGTTCCTATTGCGTCCTTTGTTCGCGTCTCGTCGCGTTCTCCGCGAATTCACGCCAGATTTTCCAGCGATTCCGAGGACAAACGTTGCGAGGATAGCTCGTTTGCCGCTGCACGGGTCTCGGGGTGTCCCGCGATATTATTTATCACTCGGTGAGAAGCAAAGCGTATTTGTCGTGGTAAATTTTCGTGCATCGAGGATCGTTAGGAAGGCAGTCTGACCAAAGGTAGCTCGACCGCGGAAGATCGTAGCCAGGTTTCCTCCGAGCGATCCTTTGTGCCTGCGCGGTAACAGGACACTCCATCGCGACGCGCAAAATCCTTAATTATTATGCAGCAAAGCGAATCAGGAATCCGGATAATGCTAGCAGTCGAACTGCTGTACATACTGGCCGGTACGTAAGGGTTTACGTAGAACGGTTCAGAAGGGACCGGAGGAGTCCCTAAAACCGCAGTGACCTCCAATTATCCTGTGGGTACCACGTGGCCCACGTGGTACCCATGCTCCCTACGGACCGTCCGCAAACACCCCTATGTCGGTCGTCTCGCTGCCTATAACGTCCCTCGGATTAATTCATTATTAAAATAACCCCGTTCCCCGTGAGTTTGTTATCGTCGACTATTACAGCGGAATCGCGTGGAATCGAATTGCAGCCTGGACGGAAAGTCACTTTTCCTCGTACCAATTCAACGACGACGCGGAAAATGTTCCTCGAGAGAGGATTCGTTAAGGAATTATTGCCGGCTTAGAGGAAGGACGTGTTCGCCGAAAGAGTGGTCGATGTCTCTTCGTGTCTCACGGTACGCGCAATTGAGCAGGATTTACCTAACCTAGCTTCCACCCACGGGTCGTAGCTCGGGGAAAATCAAAAGTCCTCATTAGGTATTCCGAGGTCGGAGAGGGTTCCTCGCCTGGCAACCCTCTCGTCTTGAGCCCAAAGGCAGCCTAAGACCGGACATTTCAATAAACCCTGGCAAACGCGTGGGTTTAAACCACTGACCGCGACGGGTCCTGGTCAGCAGCTTCCTCGATCAAATTGCGCATGTCCTCAGTCGAATGACTGCGATCGACCGATCTTCCCGTCACGATGGATGCCGCGTTTTCTTCCGACACCGTTCAAGGTCCGCGCTTAAGAGTCCATCGAATAAACGGTCCAAGAGAAATCTGTCGGGGTACCAGGGGGTCGTCCTCGACGAACGAGCTATTAATAAATGAATAACGTCGAGGGCGGTAAGTGGCAGTCGAGTCGCATCGAACAGCCCATAAAACTTTCTTTTAGCCAGGCTGGCGGCAACGCGTTCCCCCGTGCCCCACGATTCTCTCGAATTAGCGAAATGATTTCCGGGAAAACTTTCCACGCCGCGCGTCCTCGGTCACTTTCTCCCCCATAAATCTATCTCCCCTATCGCGAGCCGCGATTCCGCCCTTCCTCCATCGGGGCTCCGCTCCGTTGCTAAAATTCGATCCGGCATTGCGATTCCGCGTCGAATAATCCCACGGAGAAACGAATTACGGCGCTTGATTGGAACGAACTCGACCAGAAGCTCGTCGCGCGTTGTTAACAAACTTCGTTAAACAAAGTACGGCAAGTGGGACGCGTCGGATCGAGCAGATCGAGCAAAGGCGATCGCGATCATCGGGAACGATAGTCCGTGGACGAAGCGCATTGGTCGGCGAACTTTTGCCAAGATGGAAGTTCCCTGCTCGAACACCGGGCGCGCGTATAAACGAAGCACGACTGGTAGATTGAAAAATTGTTCGCGAGGGGAGGGGAAACGGGAACGTTTTCGTTACAGCGCAATTCTCGGCGATGAGGAAAATACGTCGTATCCTTTATCAGAGCCTCGTGCGAAAACGCCTTTCAATCTGCACCCGTCTATCTAGATCCCCTGACAGGCGGGCCAGGAGTAAGCTGGAAAAGTACTCGCCGTATTTTTCGTGCGCGCAAAACGAATCGTCTCGATCGCGAACGCGTTCCACTCGTCCGGCTTTAAAACTTCATTTCCCGGCATTCATTTCCGACCCCCGTTGTTCCTTTCCGGCGAGTCGAGCGTCGCGAGAAGGGTTTCCACACACGTAGCCGGGCGCCCGGGTTTGTCTTCGTTCCCGTTTCTTTGTCTTCGAGGCGATCGGGTTCGTAAGAGAGTTGCCGCTTGTTCCAGAGGAGGGAACCACGAGCATCGGCCTGATCACGGTTCATTTCGCCCGGCTCTCACGACGCCGGCCAACCCCGTGCCACGTTCGCCTTCTTCCTCGCCCGGCAAGGAAAAAGAGAAAATACACGATCGTACGAGCCCATAAAAATCACGCTCCTTTCTCCTTTCCTTCCGCCGATGGATTATTGACTTTGCGTTTGTCGGACTCGCAGGCCGAATCTTCCCCGGCTGCGCCCGGGCCGTCCCGCCCAATCTGCCCGGCCACGGTTTTTCTTTCGTAGATTGAGGCCACACGGGTCGCATATTGGATCGAGATTCGCCGGAAATCGGAATGTTTGCCTTCTGAGAGCCCGGCCTCCGGCCGGACCTCTTCATCGCCTCGATCGAACACGGAAGAGGAGAGATACCTCGGAAGAGGAGCGTGGGGCGGCCGTATTAAAGCTCGGTCGATAGATTTGCAACGCGGCGTGGGTTTAATTTTCCGTCGAAATTCATTTCCCGGACGTTATCCGTGCGATCGAACGAGGAGAGGAGGAAAGAATATGGCGGATGTCAGAGAGAAAGAAGAAACGTCGCGGGCGAACGCGTTCGGTTGCACGCGATCGGGGAGACAATTTGCCGAGCAAATGATGTCGTCGAGCCGGAACAGGAGTTTGTACTTAAATGATGAAACCAGAACACAGCTTTGTCGCATCGGCTGGAAGCCAAATTGGAAGCCGACAGCGTGGCTCGAAAGTACCGACGGCAATAGCACGAACAGACGGACGGACGAACGGACTGACGAGCAAAGGAGCACCGTTAAAGTCTCTTGCATCCGGTAAAACGCTCGCATGCGAGAGAGAAGCGGAGAGAATCCGGCTACCGGCCACGGCAGAGACTGTTCGCGACTAAACGAGCAGAAAGCCAAAGCAAAGCCGCGTTTGGCCAGTATTCGACGCGCCAACGGCCGGTTTAATTACTCCCTTCATAGAGACACTAAATATTCGACTGTCTGTGAGGTGGCCGACCGGACTCGACAGCTGCGCGCACGCCGCCCCGCCTCTCATAGAAACGATAATTACGCGGGCAAAGCTCGCCTTCCAACGCCGTGCCACTGTCACGTTACCCGTCTAATCCCGACTTCGATCATTTTCCGCTCGATTTCCCCCGATTTCGCTCCACTCGCCGTCGCCTTGGCCGGTTTACATCGCGCGTGTCACAGGTGAAAGCGAATCGCCAGTCAACGTGGTCGGTATCGAGCGCGGGATCGACATCACCGTGATTTCCTTACAGGTGCACAGAGAACCCCGTGGAGAACATTCGAGGATAGCGCAAAGAGTCGACAGACATCTTCCGAAATTTAACCCACAGCCGAATAAATTTGTTTCAAACTCTTCCTCGCTGTATTCGCACGCCTCAGACTCTTAATTGATTCACGCGCGCGATGACGTTCGACGACAGAGTCCTCGGGTGGAACTTTTCTTCCCCGAAGCAAACTCCGTCCTCAAACAACCGTGGAAATTTCGTTCGCCTAGGAGGAGCAGACACGAAGCCGACGCGTACACGGCTGCCTGCGAAATAATCTAGCTCGTCCTTTAAAGCCGATCGTTCCATCGCGCTCCACCCCTCTTTCCACCCCTCGGCCCCTGTCTCCCGATCGCCCAACGACATCACCCCGTTTTAATTAGCTTTACCGGCTGGTAAACAATAAGCTCTTATTTCTGATGAATTAATTTCCAACAAATCCAGGCAGCGCCGGCTCGCGCGCAGCCGCGTGCGCTCTTATTCGAGCGACGAGGGCTCGAGTCCCGCTGCGTAACGAGCATCCCCTTTTGCTATCCAGTGTTCCGTCGGTTTCCTGGAATTTCTGGGCCGCGTTCACTCGTTCGTCCCACCTCCCGATGGCGAAGAAACGAGCCTGGAACAACGGGCCGCGAGTTTCCAACGATTCGTCGGTACCGGGGAATAAACTGGGTTAACGTGACATTTCGTTTCGTTTCGTTTCGTCTCGTCTCGTCTCGTCTCGTCCCGGGATTCCGAGTGATAATTTCCATCGGCGGGATAAGGGGTGGTTTCGGTTGCTCTCGATAGCAGGGTTGTTCCATCCGGAGCGGCGCGCGAGGGTGAATCATCCCCGTGGGCGAATATTCAAGCGAGCAGGTAATCGCGGTAAGGAGGACGCGTTGCGATGGAAGAAAATCCGAGCGGGAACGGGAAGAGGAAGGGGCGGAGCGGGGCGGAGAGCCGCCGCGGCTTATAGCGGCGCGAGACGCTCATCTGCATTTCAAATCGCGCGCCCTCGCCAAGATTTCCACGCGGCACTCTGGACGTTCTGTGCGACCGAGCGCACGCGGTCTCTCTCCGATGCCCGAGAGAGCCAGAGAGAAGGTCGCGTGTCTACCACGATGGAATCCAATACGATGGATTCGGGATCGCTGCGCGGCCATTTCGCCCCGGCCGAGTACACGCGGATCTGGCCTGAACGATGGACGAACGAGTCGGAAGTCGGCAGCCTTTCCGCCTCCGACCGACTACACGTGTTCCTGTCTCTGATTAAACTATCGAGGCATGGAAACGGCCTCCTCTGGCTGACGAATGGCGGTTCGTTCGCCGGCGTCTCCGACCGACTACACGTGTTCCTGTCTCTGATTAAACTATCGAGGCATGGAAACGGCCTCCTCCTCTGGCTGACGAATGGCGGTTCGTTCGCCGGCAGTAACGCATGCGAGGAATCCACGATGATTTAGGTGAAAGATAAACTTACCTTGCCGACACCGGTGAGCTCCTTCACGCCTATCCTTCGCAGCAAAGCCGGTGGCGCTGGAGGCGGAGACTTGAGAAGAAGCGCGGCGTATCCATTCGGGAAGATCGGCAGCTCGTCGGAGCCGATGTTCTCGTCGCCCGAGCGACGTCGGCGATGCGGGCTCGACGAGAGGTTTAGCTTTTGGGCTGCTCTGAAATGCCAAAAGCCACACACCGTGTTAGTTACCGCTACACTCGATCCGGTCCGGACGTTTGCATAAAATACAGTTCGCGGGGTAACGCTCCGTGGAAACCGCGACAGCGCTCACGGCCTCGCGCGTCTCGTAAACTTTTGACGGAATTCGCGGGTAACGGAGAAACGAGACACGCGCTGCGAAATCGAGGATCCGCTTAAATCTCGGGAGAGAAGCGTCGCCGCGGCAGGCGGTCGTTGGTTCGTTCGTCTCGAAGGTTTCCCGCGAGATGCCTATCCGGGAGATACGGAGGAGCGAACGGTAGAGGAAAGGGTGGTCGGATTGCGGAAGGTATGTGTCTCGAGGGTGACTGGGTGACATACTCCGCGAGGCGGGCCGGTAATCAGCGAAGGTAATGTGCCGGAACCCCGTGCGCGGTAGGGCACCGCGTTTAAAGGGGTGCGCCACCAGAAGCTGCCTCGGCGAGACGAAGAGGGAAGAGGGTGAAGAGGTGTAACACTGGGACCATAGGGCTCACTTTTGGCGGGGACAGAGGACGTTTCAGGGGCTCGGTCGCCCTAACTCCTGCAGCCCTCGGGCCTCGTTAACCCACGCTCTGTGAAATTGGAAATACCAACGAGAGAGCCAACTCTCTCGCCGCTCACTTCGGCCCCCTACCCTCCAGCCGTCGTACAGAGAGCAGCCGTTGCGGTGTACGCGTGCAAGCATTTGCAACCGCCCTGTGGGGCGTCATAAAAAATAGAAAGGACCGTGAACACGGGGGTGGACACGGACCGGTTATCAACGTTCCGCCGCCTAGCACCGGCCACGACTTCCGGCCGCATTACGCGTCCGAATAATCCGCGCCGTTTGCCGCGCCTCTTCATGGACCGAGGCTAATAGTATCGCGGCAAGATACTCCCCTTGCGCCGGCAATCACGCCGGATCCTATGATTTTTTAACGCCACTCGCAACCATACGCTGCGACGACGTCGCGACGTAAAAAATTCGTTACCGAGCTCCAGCCACTCGGCTCGCGGAGATAAATTTTTCGCCAGAGCGGACGACGGTGCAGCTGTCCGAATAAAAGCGTCGCCGTACTCGTTCCGCCATTGCTACGATCTACACCGTGGATTACGCTATTTTTCCCATTTTTTTCCCCCTCCATCTTTCTTCTTTTTCCTTCCATTATCTCCTGCACGGGATCAGGGAGAACAGGGAGACTTGCAAAGGACGATTGATTCTCGACGAGGTATCGAACGACTGTCATAAAGGTTATTCGTTTCTAAGCACGCCAATCGACGACATTGGATCCCACCCCGATGTGAGACCGCAAAATCATCGCGTCGTTCACCCCTTCTTCGCGGGATCCGCGTATCGTTCCGACTTTTATGCCCGCTTTAATTATTTACCGTCCCCTTCGGTGTCAGTTGCGAGCCCCGATTTTACGAAGCGGAACTCGAACGGACGAGTCGGCGCGCCGCTCGAATTCGCCGAGCGATTTCCAAACCGTTTTTACTGCCGCTTTTTATTCGTCCACGTCGATTTTTCAGCTACGCTCGACGACGCGTGCAACTGGCCATTCGCCGGAATAGCGGCGTCGATAATCGAGGCGTCAACGAACCGTCGGTTCGACGGGGACGGGGCGCATCGGCGTTGCGGTGAAGGAAAGAAAACTCGTTGGGAAATTGGTGACAGCTCTCGGATGACCGTCGATTGCTCGTCGAGGAGACGAGAGCACGCGGCAAACTTATTTTACTCGGTCAAATATTTAAACGAGGAAAGTAAGTTTCGATTGGAGGGAAACTTTGGATACTTTGCGACAGCCAGACGTCGGAGTCAACAGTATGATCGAGGAAACGTACTTTGGAGGAAGTAGTCCCGTCCACGCGTCACTTTTCCGTCTCTCTCTCTCTCTCTCTCTCTCTCTCTCTCTCTCTCTCTCTCCTCGCGGAGTCTACTTAATTAAATCTCTTAATATTTAGTCTGTCGGAATAGGAGAGTTGCCGTTCGCAGCGGTAACGAGACGATCGTGACTCGTGCTTGACAAATTAATAACAGGGAGGGATATCGCGATGAAAGAATGGAGAACGATTCGCTCGGTTCATTAGCATTTATGAACCTGTTGCCAGTGATACGACTTTGGCTCGAACGGCGGAAAATTCCGACGAATATCGCGTGTCGTTCCGTACAACCCGAAGCTATTCCGCGTCGAGTGCACGGGGTACAACGGGGTAACACCGCTTCCAGTTTTCCGAGGGAATTTTATTAGAAAAAGAGCGTCACGCTCGAGCGGACGCGGAGGTTTCCCCTTTCGAGAGAGGAAAAAATCGGTCGCTTCTTTCATCGGCTGTAGCGCGTTTCGAGAACAGCGAAAACGAAACGGCGGAGCCGGAGGACGCAGGTGCGCAACGCGCAAACGCAATCTACGCATCAATCACGAGGAACAGATGCGGTACCGGTGCTCGCGTCTTTTCAATCTTCGACGAAAGGTCATTTTCCCGCGTCTCTATAATCGACCATCGGCAACGATATCGCGAGCGAGAGGAGCAACGACCGGCTACTTACTCGCCGGGAAATTTATTTCTTCGTAAGAGCAATGGCTACCTTTAAACTACCCCCCAAGGAATATTTGTCTCGCACGAGTAAGCGGACCGTGGCTAGGGTTTTTACGCGGAAATGAGCGTCTTGTTTCACGACCAAACGAGTGTTCTCGCGAGAGTAGGGATGCCGCGGGCTGATTCCTCAGTGCTGACGAAGCGAACGGGGTAACTGGCGTTAAAACGGCGAACGCTTTATAAATGTTCGCGCGTAATCCGATCGCAGGGACATCGATCATGCGTCGCTGACCGTGTCCGACGTTGACGGGGTCCGTCAGGGCCTCGCGTCTCGTAAATTTTCCCTCCGTTCCACTGCCTCCCACCCCTCCTCGCTCCGCCGCCCTTTTATATCGCGACGAAAGTATCGAGGAGCAAAGGGGGGGCTAGCTCGTAATTCGCACGGAAATTACACGCTTAATTCGCGATGTTATTTACGAGCGAGCGGACACTCGCGCCCTCGGCCACCCTCCTCCGCCACCCTCCTTGGCAACTCGCCACGTATCTCGGCTTAATCAAGGAAATTATGGCGCGAAGCGCTTTAAACGTCGAGGGCCGTTAGCAAGGTCGCATATCTGCCGCTCCGGCGCCACTGATACGCGGCTGGCCAGGAATTAAAAACTTCTAAAAAGACGCGCACACGCGAGCATCCACGCCCAACATCGCCGAGAATACACCAGCCTTCTACGTGCCAACGTTTTTAAAGCGACGCGAAGCCGAGACGACGGAAGGAATCGATTAACGTAATCGAGGAGCTTCGTGATTCGAGAAATTGAGCGCATTCCAGCTCCTCTTCTTCTCCCGGACGACTTTCAACGCGTCGGCAGATCGAGTATAGAATTTTTGCTCTCGGGGCTGGAAAACATTCTGCCCGAATTATATTTTCCATCCCCCATCGACTCGGCGCCGCTTCGACAAACTTGCCGATCCCGTTAACTCTTACCAGCCACTTGTTCGTACTCTCGTCTATTCGACTGGCCGGAAACGGAAAGAAAACACGGAGAATTCCAGCGAGATGGATGGAGAACATCCGAGAGGGCGCGGATGGAAGTACGGATAAACCACATCCCGATGCCCGCCTCGAAACGACGAATCCTCCCACCTCTAGGCCCGCTCCTGATTGAATTGCCATAATCGATTCGTGAAATATCCCGTCCACGTATTCACCGACCTCTCGCATTTTCTCCGCTTCCTCTTCCTATCGCGCCCTTCCATCTGCATCCGCGTTTCGACCGTTCAAGATAATCAAGAGGAGACCCTTCCTTTAGCACCCCTCCCGCCCACCACCCACTCGACCAATTCCAATCGATAGTTTTCCACGCGAACAGTGTCAAAATTCTCGGCGCTTTCCACGCGAACACGATCCACGAAACACCACGCGAGCGAATCAATCGTGCGAAATAAAATCGCGATCGAAATAGGGTGTAAACGATTCCTCGATTCCTCGATTCCTCGCTGTTACGCGCTAACGTTAACGCGGTAAAAATGAAGCGCAGCGAGAGAGGAGGAGGAAATCAGGCGAGCTATACGGTAACGAAACACGCCCCTAGTTTCCAGGAAACGCGGTGCCCATTCCAGATGCACTTTTTCCGCGCGGAATTGCACGCTAAATCCGCGAGAAACGGAGAAAACGGACGCACCGTTTAACTTACATGGTCGTACGTGCTGGTTCCCGTGTCGTAAATCATACGGGATGCCGGGAAACGATGAGGGTGGAGGCACGTGGAGAGAAAGGGAAAGGATGTCTCAGCTGCTCGCAGCTACCAGCACTGATTGAATTGCTTCCGCCGTTTTCTCGCGTGCGTAACAAACCGACAGGCGTATACTCCATCCCTCTGCCGTCCCTCGTAAACTTACCAGCCGTTCCCAATGTTTCGACGCCAAGTACCTCCGGTTCCATATTCTTCTCCTCGCGAATAATTATTCCCGCCGTGTCGGGACTGCGGGGAATTCTCTCGCGCGTAAACGTCGCAGAGGGTCGAAGCTCGGGCGCGGAGAGCGCGGACCTAGAGGAGTGCGAGCGATACGTGGCTCGCGGGGGGTGAGAATCGCGATAACTCCGGCTGCGGTATTCGCCGATAAAGCCGACGATAAGGACGGGGCCTCGGGATGAGGCGGTGACGCGAGCGAAAGAAAAACGAAGCGAGAAGGCAGCGAGCGGGCAAAGGCGGAAATTGCGGGCTACAGATGGACCGAACCCCTTGACGGTCCTTGAGCGGCGAGAGCCGGCTCTTTGTGATCCCGGCGCAACGCGATGCGTTTCATCCTGCAGACACATTACGCTCGAATTGATAAGAACGAAACAGAAAGGAGCGTCGGCCGAGGGAAGGCGAAATCGACGGGGTGCGAGGGAGGAAGAGAAGGAGGTAGGGAAAATATCAGCCAGGCTCCCTTCGATACGCGCCTACGTGTATATACGTA